ACATTCATCCCGGATTATTTTCATAGTGTGAATGGGGCCCACCTGTCTTGAATCCCATTATGGGGGAATGGCAAGATATAAATCCTTGAAATAAATTTTAAAAAATAAAATAGTTTTAATGACATGGATATATCTTCCATTGGTTGTTTATGCCATGTAAAGTCATCTTTGGGAATTGAACAACTGATGTCAGGGGGACTCACAGTTGCACTCAGGTTGCAACATAAGCTAGACACAACTTAAGGAATGGAGCTTAAGGTTCTACCATTCAAGTCTTGAATATTTGAGGACCTGGGTTTTTGAACCACCATCTTCCTTTAGTTTATATAGACTCCCTCACATGCTTTGTTCAATATTTAAAGTCCTGTTCTGGGTGTTCTTACGGATTGATGGTGTGTTTCTACTGAGACAAGGGTCTTTCATAAAATAATATTTATTATTTTTTTTCCAAAACAGAAACATATATATGTACATACATAACCTAAACATAAAGCTAAACATATATACATACATAACCTAAACATAAAAAACAAAAACAGTAACAATATATATCCTAAAACATTTACTACATCGTCTACCCCTTACCTCCATTAAAAAAGACTTCTGTCTTTTCTCTAAACGCCACTTAATCTTAATGTACTCTAATTTCTCCTCCCTTCGTTATTTTGTCATTGTTTATTGTCAAATAAATAACTATCGTATACCAACTTCTTTCTCTTTTACCAATCTAAAGACAAGAACTAAGTTTACTCTCTAAAATAATAAAAAAAAATCATATCAGTATTACATTCCTGCTTCTTAGCCATGTTCAAAATGGAGGACCTTTTGGAATTCCTCCTGGAGAGGAGGTGGAAATGGACGCAGGGTGACCCGATGTCTTCAACGCAAAGGAGGACAAGGCACTGTCCACTGTAAAATGGAGGACACGCAAGAAAAATGGAGGGACATTTACCACACAAAAGCGCAAAACACACGTATAAATAGAAATGCATGCTTCTCAGTCATGCTCCAAATGGAGGTCCTTTTGGAATTCCTCCGGGACTGAAGGAGGTTGAAATGGAGGACGTGTCCTGGAGAAAGGAGGACCTCTGGTCACCCAGAGTGAGAAGAGGCAAGGGCAGGATGACCAGATGTCAGACCCACAAAGGAGGACCAGGCAATGCAAAATGTAGAACATTGAAGAATAATGTAGGACGTGACAAAATAAAAGCTTAAGGCTGCATAGTACAGTATGAAGTGATATATATATATATATATATATATGAAGCTAATAATAATAATAATTTATTTATATCCCACCTCTCCAAACAGATGGAAGCAGCTAACAATAATACAACAGCATTCAAATACAGTAAAGCAGGGGTAGGCAACCTAAGGCCCGCTGATGCCTGCCATGATGATATTGATTATTGTTGTTATTACTTGTTCTTGGGGTTTTCTTGGCAAAGTCTCCACAGGGGTTTTGCCATGGCTCTTCTGGGGCTGAGAGAGTGTGCATGCATATTTTTTTTATTTTTATTTAATTTTTATTTTTTATATTTATTTATTTATTTATTTATGGTGCTTCGCCCCCCCCCCCAAGGTTGCCTACCCCTGAAATAGAGGATGGTCCATTGTAAAGCAGGCCACATGGCCATGTTACAATGATTCACAAGATGATCAGAAGGCTGAAAAGAAGGTGGATGGCTTAATAGTTGTTTTTTTTTTTAATCAGCACTGAACTGATAGTTTTTGAATAAATGTAAGACCTTCAGCTGATCAGCTCAAAGTTTGTGTGTGTTTTTTCAGTCAGTGAGTGCGAGATGCTGATCACATTTCCAAAAAGTTGCAAAAAGGTCGCCTACCCCTGCAGTAAAACATCACATCCCACAAATCCTCCCATCCGCAATTAAAAAGCGCATTTCAATTATTAAAACAAAGCAGGTGTGTGTGTGTGTGT